TAATTAACAGCCATGCTAGCATCTCTGTGAGGCTGTACTTAGACGCAGCTGTGCTTTGAGCAAAATGCTAACATGCTCACAATGGCTATGCTAACATGCTAACATGCTGATAAGATAAGACGAGATAAGTTTATTTATCCAGTGGGACATTGTTTTGCAGCAGTTGCAGTACAAAGTAGGAAAGAGTGCAAATATAAACAAATTCTGAGAATAACTGATTATCATTAAGGTGCATATCTAGCACAGTGCCAATTATGTAAACAGATTAATGGTAAGTATCATAAATATATAAACTGATTAACGTTAAGGTGCAATTTCAAAATATTACAATGCCAAAAAATGTAAATGGATAACCGTAGTGGTCATCAGAATCAACAGGTGAGCGGTAAAGTGCATATCCATATACACAATATATATATACAACATCAAAATATAAACAGGTGGTTTACAGTAAGGATCACAGGTATGTGTCAGAATTGTCATATAGCTATGTATGTAGGCCTATGTACAATTCCAAATCTGACTACATGCATATCGTTGTGTTCACTGATCACGCCATGAAATTTCATGATATTTAGACCCATAGTGTCACTGTAGTGTGAGAGTTGTTATGACAGTACCCCATGAAGAGACAGTAGCTCAGAAAGAAAGAGAGACATTTAAACAAACAGAGTAGAACACAAAAATAACTGAAATGGAGGTTAGTGCCACCTCAGCACCCCATCCCTGGTGTATACCTCTGTGTGAGGTAGATGAGTTGTAGAGTTGCCACAGGAAGCTGTGTTGCATCGTGACGATAACAGTCTGCTGCTGAAAGTGCTCCTGTGGAGCAATGTTTACCATGATCACCATCTTAGTTTAGCTTGCTAACCTTTAATAATTAGCACTAAACATAACGTTTGGCTGAGGCTGACAGGAATGACATTGGTTATTTAGTCTTAAAGCAAAGTATCAAACAAATGAAACATTTGACCAGATGATGGCGCTAAAAGTTAGGTGCTCACTAAAATTACTAGGCTACAGTTCATCCTGAGGGGAACATGACCATTTGTGCCAAATTTGGCAATCATATAATAGTTGTTGTGATATTTCAGTCCAGATCAAAGTGGTGGATCGACCGACTGACATTTCCACCCCTAAAAATTTGAATTTATTTTTTTCCCAACTGTACGCCAGTTGAAATGGATTTGCTGTGTTCACTACTGTAAACAGTTTATGGGGTGCAGAGGAAAGACATTTAGATTTGTATCATACGACTAACATGTTGTCTGATTAGTGGTTAAGCATTATCCATGTTTTCTAAGTGCTCTTTCTATGTACTGCATTTTACTTTTATGCTTCATATAACTCTTAAAATCGGATTTGCTATTTAAAGTGGACGATGACACAGGTCCTTGGTGTGTGGGTGTCACATTGGATTCTTTCCCAGATGTCTTCATCTCAGGCAGATAGACACATAAATGGGAGGGTAAGTATATCTGCTGATCAGGCATCAGAATCATAGTCATGCAGCTTCTCCGTCTGTTTTGAATCACACCGTGTCAAGCATCTTACTTAATGTTACATTTGTACATCCACGCCCATTCTCTTAACTCTTCCTCTTTTGACAACACATGATTTCTATTCTTACGACCAGCTTCCTTTGGCAGCTAAAAGGGAAGCGTGAAGGCTTCATTTAAGTTTGGTTGCAAACTGCGAAACATTTTATGCCCACGATGATGGTTCAAGATTATTCAGAGTGCCTGTCATGATGATCAAGGAATTGTATTATTATATTAGCATTACACAGATGTTTGCAGTTGTTTGGATGTCCCTGTGGCTTTATCACAAAGCAGAGTTTGACTTTCTTTGATTTATACAGCTTCACCAGGACTAATATCCCTGAAGTGTTCTCGCAAAGCTGGTTATCAACTGGCCCTGTTCACCACGATTTTTCACTCAAGCCATGTGCACAGTTGCATGAATGAGGAAGGGCTCCAACAAACATCAACATAACAACATTGGTCTTTGTGGTGCAATCAGGTTGTTTCATTGATTAAAAATTGCGAGATTCAGTAGGCTGTAGATGCATACAAGCAAGCACACAAACAGAATAAGGAATTAAAATTGGAGTGTTGAGTCCAGATACATGCAAGTTAGGTGAATTGCTCTCTAAATTGCCTGTAGGTTTGAGTGTAAATTATAGTTTGTCTATATATTTAAGCCCTGTGACAGATTTTCGAGGTGGTATCCTTTCCCAGTGTGAGCTAGGACAGCGTCCAGCCACTACAGGAACAGATAATACTGTAAATAAATAAAACATCAATTATGAAATAAAGACAAACTGCCGCTGGGGCTGTGCAGCAGAACTTTAACATGGATAAAAGATTAAGAATTACATTTTTGGTCTTGGCCTCTTCCATGTTCTTTGTGAAAGAGAACAACATGGGGTGTCCAGTGGCCAAATCATTAAGACATACCATGATGACCCGGGTTCACCTCCAGCAGGTGACCTTTGTTGCATTTCACTGCCTTCCCTCTCTCTGGATTTCCTGTATGTATCTGTACCAAAACTATCAAATAAAGGCAAAATGCAACAAGCTCAACATATTTATAATAAAACTTGAAGACAGACAGACAACTAAGACAGACAGACACACACACACACACACTACTGTTGTATTCATTTTTATTTCATGAACTGTATATAATGAATTGTTCTTTTGCATTATTTGTTAAGCTTTGGCAATATTGTTGTTTGACATTCATGCCAATAAAGCTGAATTGAACTGACAGGATCTGGCCTTTGAATTTTTCTGGAAACAAGTGTAAAGCTGTGAAACAGACAACAGGTTCAATGTTAGAGTTAGGCTACTGGTGTTATAAAATAACTAAAATCAATACACAAACAAAAGCATAGATTTGCTATCAAATTAGTTTAACTGTCCTTCATGCCAGGAAGATTCAAAATGTCCCAAGTGAAAGATCAGCATTAAGTCCCCATAGGACTATACAAAACATTAATAAATCTAATAAACATACACTTAACTCCACAAGACTGAACTAAAAAGAGGAAAAATTAGTAAAGTTAGACCAACAGTTAATCACAGTTACTAAAGCCGCATAGGATGTGACTCAGTAATTACACATATAGGCGAGGTTATAGCTGTCAGCTGAACACCATATGTGGGAGGACACACTGCCGGGAAAAGAGATGTATATGCCTACTATAGAGGAGCGCACTGTAAAAGGACATATGGTTTCTTAACTTTTTTACTGTGCATTTAAGCCAATACTTGATTGATGTTTTTTGCCGTACAAGAACCAGAAGGAGTGCAAAACCACAGGGGAAGTAGTCTTCCTGATATTGTGACTAACCATCTGGTTGTGCCAAAATTGTGCAGCCTGTAAACATACAACAGGAATTCTCTGGAAATACAGTTTGACCTGGGCAGACCTTTACAGTGATAAAACAATGGGTGTAAAATAATTAAATAAAAAAAATTAAATGTTTGTAAAGGAGACTTTAACTGCCACAAAAAATATGGCTGGAGACTTATTGCAGGAAATGGTGGACACTGTTGTTGTTGTTGTTGTTACTGACATCGATACGTAATGCTAGACACTTGCATCAAGCTCTGTCCTACAGTGGGTGATATGACATACAAAATACTGTACACATGCAAGGTTCAAATGAAACATTATTACATAGTAGATATGACAGATGCTGATATTAATCAATAATGATGTGTGATAACTTTTTTATGAATGTATCAATAATTTCAAGGGGAGTGTGTTTTGTTTAGCATGTTGTTCATTAATAAATTGAAGCATGATATTAGGTACACAAACATTTCAACTCATGTCAACTCTGCAGATAAAAGGGGATCAAATAATCTGTTTTTCAGAGAACTGCCCTGAAACTGTGATGATTAAAGTACATACTGATTCTGCATGTTTTCCCCACTCACTGCAAAGTCACATTGCAGATGACTTACCATAGTACATTTTATCATTAAGAACAATGTGGATGGAATATTTATAATGTAAATTTTGTAGTACTATAAAATGCAAATGAACGATTTATGATTTTGTTGGGGAACTATGAAGGTCCCTGAAGCTGTACTGGAACTATTCAGGCAAATATGTATTGTCAGCATGCTGTTTCTATATGTGATCATGATTGGCAGCTGGGTCTCTTTTTATACAACATGTCAGCTACATATGCCCCAGGTGTATGTGGGCAGCATGTAATGAAACAAACTAGTAGTGGCTGGGGAAGCTGCAAATGGGGCCCATGTCAGCAGTGATCTTTAATTTTCTACTTAAATTTCCACACAAGCCTTGCAATTCATGCTCACTCCATGTGGTAACAGACAGGTAATTTTCACTTTTTCATACCTGACAAAATATTTAGTTCTGTGGTATTTGTAATGTTGCTTTTTAACTGGGGCTGTTGAGAACTGCTGATCTAACAATAAGAGCATTTGTGATTGTGGGGAAGCTCCTTTCTTCAGTTGTAATACAATTGTGAGGATTAACATTTCTTTTCCTTGCAGGTGTTGCTTATAGGCTGCAGTAAGCCTAATATTTCTTTATATCTTAAATTATGGATTATGAGAAAACTGGAAGTGTAAATTTGTGTGTAATTATTTTTATACATTATACACATTGTATTGATGGTAATATGACAAAGACTTTCTCATCTTAAAATCATTATTTTCTCTGTATATTCTGAAGGTGCCTATTTCCAAACTTGATAACCACCATGCCTGATCGGGACGAAGAAGGTATATAGGGAAATTATAACCTAACTTATATCTTATCTCTGTTGTTACGGCTCTCCTCGTGTTACAACCATACCTGGTCTCCCCTACATTTCTTTTTTTAGAATGGTCTGTCTTTACCGCAATTTAGTACTTGCTTCTGATAAGACTTCCTAAGAAAATCTTCCCGTCATCCGCAGGTGAAGTAGAGACCTCGCATGCGTCATGCGCATTAGACTATATATAGAGGCTGCAGCGAAGTTGTGGGAATAACGGTCTGCGAAGAGGAACTTAAAGGAAGATCACTTTACATCACTGACTGTTGGCTTCAACGACTTCTGATCGCGTTTTGATTTCTTCTCGGACTTTTTTTTAATTCATTGAACTCTACCGCTATCTGGATACGATGGCCAGCTCGGCACAGCAGCTCCTCGGTTTCTTCCTCTCACTGCTCGGTCTCGCTGCCACTGTTGCCGCTACTTTCATGGTTGAATGGAAGAAGCAGTCCCAGGGCAAGCACCGCATCTATGAGGGATTGTGGATGACCTGCAGTGGCACTGAGAGAACAATCTGTGAAATTCACCAGACCATGTTGAAGCTGCCAAGTAAGTTTTTATCACACCTGCAACTGCTCTAAAAACCAGACACTGCTTGTTGAGATATCTTCCACTCACAATAAGTTACTATAATTAGCCAGAAGTGTGTTTCTTTGCATTGACCTCATCTGACTTTATGGCATTGTCTGATATTCATATTGAGCCATATAGGGATTTGTTTTAATCTTGTGGAATTTAGCCAATGTTCTATTTTGTAGAATAATAGTTTTTACTTTAGGTTTATTTGTTATTATTTTGTGATGTTGACAAAGTTAAGACAAAGCATGAGTAATATACAATCTCTTAGACAGAGAGACATGTCCAACAATCACAGTTTTTATAAAGGCTGACTGTATATGTGTAACAAACATTACCACTTCTGCTCTTCTAGCTGAGGTCCAGGCAACCAGGGCCGTGTTGCTGCTCAGCATCTTCATCTCCACTGTGGCACTACTTGTCTCCACGGTAGGAATGAAGTGCACCCACTTCATGGACAGCAAGACTCAGACTAAATCCACAGCAGCTATGATTGGAGGACTTATGTTCATGGTTGCAGGTGTGTTCTTTGGCCGCAGAACCTGAAAGGCTTTCACAGGCACTCAGACTGGATGATATGTTATTATATATGCTAACAATGTTCCCATTTGTCATCTTTGATTTTTTTTCAATTGAACCTTTATTTAAAGTCTTATTGAGATTTGAAATCTCTTTTTCTTTTCTTTCCCCTGGCAAAGACAGGACAGCAGTAACAATGAGTTACAGACAAACAACATTAGAATGACACACAAAACCAGAATTGGACGGAAACAAAATTCTAAAATCATGAATAACATGTCTAATACAATCATGTAAAAGATGTCATCCTAAAACCAAGCTGCCTGAAACCATAAAAATCACTAGGATCAATTCAAAACAAGAACTTAATGAGACGAACACATCAAAATGTCAAAATATGGCAAGACATCATCAGCCAGAAGAGTCAGCACACAGTTCCCACAGCAATATGAGCAGAAATATTAACATTAGTGGAGGAAAGAAATTGTTCCTATATTAGGTTAGTCTAAATATATTGCCTTAATCTTTCCATAATTTAAACCTCCTATTCTATAAAGCAAAAATTCCTCATCATTCATTTAACCTCTGTTCATCCTCCATCTGAACTCTCCGCGGTCATTAAACAAATCCCTGAAACACTAAGCAAACAGCACAATAACATAGTAAAACATAGTAGTACAGTTGTAAAGTGGTAGTGATAAAGATTAGCAGAATTTAAATGAGTATTTCTGTGATGAACAATATGATGTTTTTCCTTTGTTCAGGGTTATTGACCATCATCATAACTTCCGTGTACGTCAAAATGATTATTCAGATCTTCAGTCAATCCCATCGCCTGCTAAGGTACACACACACACACACACACACACACACACACACACACACACACACACACACACACACACACACACACACACAGTCGCACACTCACACGCGCACACACATACACACACACACACATACTGTATATATACACATACAGTGGGGTTCTGTACACACGTGCATCTAAATGTTTGTGTTTTCCTCTGCAGCTTTGAGTTTGGACACGCAGTGTTTGTCAGCTGGGCTGGGGGCTTCCTCACTATGGCTGGTGGAGCTTTCCTGAGCTGCCGGAGATGCTCACGGTCCCAATCGACCGAGTCAGTACACGCAAACCCAAACCTCCCTACCACCCACTCGAAGTCCAACTACGTCTAGTGGAGGAGTTCAAGGGAGGGGCCAGGAGAGGCCTTGAAACAGTCAGTCCAGAGGAGAATTTCTAAACGGGAGTCGGTTGTGTTCTTACCATGAAGAAATGTCCCTCTGCAGGATTATAAATACTACCTATAGAACATCAAGGCAGCAGCCAGGATTGGGATTACACACGAGATCAGGCTGCGTGTAATGACCCAATGTCCCATTTTTTAAGCTTGTTTGTTTGTTTCTGTTTCAGTACAACACTTTGTTACTTTGGTGCCATCAGTCACTGCAGTAGTTCTGCTGTTGTCAGCTGTTTTTCCCCCATTCAGAATGAAATATAAGCATTCAATTATTACCTCAATTTTTACACACAATGAACTTTGTCAGCCTTTGTCTGATGACATGAAGTAACTCTTCACAACTAGCAATGAAGAACCCTCAGCAGTTTAAAGCGTAGACATAGTTTTGACGCTTCTGTACTTTAATGGTGTACTTTGCCATTCACATCATTCCCTTCACCTCTTCAATTTCACGCTGGTGTTATAGATGAAAGTTGATAATTGTATGATTAAGTGTTATATTTTATTCTCATATTTTCATGTACTTGTGTGATATTGTTATATGGCAGTTTGAAATATGTACATTTTAAAAAACAAATTTTAAAAAGTATTTTGTTTTTTTCACTCTGGTTTACATTTTGTCATATTACATACATACGTATTAAACATGCTGATGTGGTAAATTCTTATCGCTTGTGTTGATATAATCATAGCATAATTGTTCATTTCAAATTAAGTTGTCCAAATTTTGAGGTTACAGGCAAAGTGAAATTATATACTGATATAATTCAACAGTAGAAAAATGTTCATTGCATTTGAAATGATTTTGATTATTTATTACTGCATGGGATTTAGCATACAGTTGCATATCGTGATTTAAAAAAACACATAAGAGAAGAAAATGTTAAAAATACTGTAATATTAATTTCAGTCATATCAGTTTAATCAGTCCCTATTTGAAACACGCAAGGCATGAATATTTGGGCTTCACTCCACTCAAGTTTGCTTCCTTTCAGGAAGGCACCTATCAAGTGAAGGTTTTAGCCAAAATACGTGACATTTTCTCTGTTAACTTCTGCATGTGCCACCGGATTAATGTTTTGCTCAAGAAGATCCCTACTTACTTAAATGACTCTGTATACTCAAATGTTGATTCCAATGATGTAGTCCACAGTAGTAAATTATTCCCTTGTTTTACATGAGCAGTGTCATGGTCAGGTGGAAGAAGTACTTTACTTAAGAAAAAGTACCAATACCACAGTGTATAAATATATAAAAAATGTTTTTTATATAAATATCTAAAAAAAAGACTTACATTTAAATGTTTACTTATGTAAAAATACATAAATCTTAGTATCAGAATATACTTATATACTTGGAATTACTCAAGTACAGTAAAATTATCTGAAATATGTACTAAAGTACAGTACTTGACTAAATGGACTTTGTTATTCTCCACCACTGGCCATGGTAGAGACTGTGTATGGCACCCCTGAGGCCTCAGTCTCTGTTTCAAGTGCAGCATCAAAGGAAAATCCATATGACAAGAAGCAACTTCAGTGAAATAGTCTGTGTGATGTAATGAAGCAGGCAGTGTAATATTAACTTCTCTGAATTATGTAACTAATATAAATAAATAATAATAAATGGTTTGATTCAATTTCATCAACACATTATCAAATATTACATTCAACCCACATTGAATTTGATTGTTGCCTTTGACGTGACAAAGCAGATCCTGTTACCTTGAAAAGCTCCAGCGACAGCGCTCCAGTAATTTCCTGACACGGAAAGAGTTTCCTGCCTTTCATACCAACTGTCAGTTTACCCTCTAAAGACTGTTCACTGGCATCTACAGCTGCTACCATGGTGAACTCAGAGTGGAGAAAGAGTTGTATAACTTTATAAACACAGCTAAGAGTCAGTGTTAATGAGCTCTGCCGTAGGGAAACAGGGTATTACATCACACCGGGTAGATAAGGGAGAGAAATTCTGCTGAAAAATTATAAGTGTATTAAAACCATTTTGGATAAGCGACACCAGTTCCTAGAACTCGACTGATAAACTTTTCACATTTTGTCAAGAAGGATACAAAGACAGGAGATCACTATACAAATGGAAAGATGCATTTAAAATAAATATATCAAGCCTGAACACGTATAAGCATCAATAAATAAAATTAGCCTCTCTGTGTTTCCTGACTCGACTCCCCAAAAAGACTGTGCCAATAAAAATCTCATCACCAGAGTCTTAAGCTTTGACCACATTACAACTACAGTTTGCTCCTATCTCATACCATGAAACTAAGTCTTAAAAGTGTGTGAAAGGGAATTAACACCATGTTTGACAGAATTACTTGATTCTTTAAAGGTATTAATTGCAGAAGATTTTAATATATATGTGGCTGCTATGGTCGTGTTTTTGTGACCACCATAGCAGCCAGACAAAAATTCATTTATACGTGACAAAGTTAAACTGTTGGAAGAAATTACCTCATTCTTCAGTTGAAACACAATAAATAGCAGGACACTGTGTTGTGTCCTCAGCGGATGTACACTAACGTAGGAATCTCACATGGGACTGACACACTGCTGCCCAGACTGCTGCCAACACTTCCTGAACTCAATGAGAAGAAGTGAAAACAAAATGCAACCTGCAAGATGGATGTTTTGCAACAGTGGAAGAACACGCTGATATTTACCCCCTTGACATGCTAATGCCTCTTCATTTGTCTTTTTTATGGTGAATGCTAAATGACATTTGTTCTTCTTTTTGTTGTTTGGCATCAAGATAACATATCCTTAAATTTTTTTTTGATGACTGAGTTTTGACATACTGCTCTACACATTTATCTTTCAAGTGTCTCCCCAACAAAAGTGCCCTGCATTATAGTTTTTGTACTTGTCAGAAGTTTATACTTTCCCCCCTGGCTCATACCAGGACAAATACAGCTGCCTCCTAACAAACACATTGTCCATATTTTATTCTGAAGTAGCATCATGTTTCTGGTCAGTATTGTACTTTGCTACCAGAATACATTCATACTTAAAACGTTTACTACATCCACATACAGACATAAGTGCTGTCTTTACCTAGAAGTTAATACATTCACCCTTACCATTAAGAGTTTGGCACATCTGTAACAGAGAAACATCTCAGCATATGAGAAGTATCAAAAACCTTTTTTCAACAGGGAGTATTTTGTTGATTCTGCAACATTCTCCCACACATTCACTTGCCTACTCACTCAGTTTATTCTTTAGATTGCACAATTGGTTAAAATGTTAACTGCCTATTCAGGATACCAGTAAAGTGTATTGTAAGGGTTTCCCAGCAATTGTATGTTGCTGAAATTTCAAATAAGGATGCTGTATTTACTTGCTTCACAGACACTGTAATTACAGCCCTCCAGTGGTATATTTTAAACGTGGCTTTTACGTTTTGTCTTTAGATTACATTTGAAAAAATGTTTGCTTGAAATAATAATTAAAACAACCACACAAACACATTTCAGTCAAGATAATAAAACCTTGGCCTCAGACTAAACTTAGATAGATAATAAAAAGATAACAAACGTTGATTGTAGCCACATAACGTGTCTACACTTACAGCTCAGGTAAAACAGAAGATTAAGTACACTATCTACAGTGTATGTAAGTGCAATAAGAGTCACGTTTGTGTTTGTCGTGATTAAAAAGCTGAGAAATCCAATAGGTAGTTTTACCACAGTCCAGTGAATAAACTGCTTAGAAGAGAAAATGCCTGCAGAGGGAGACAGACTCCTTTAAGTGTCAGTGGCTGGCTGTGTCGTCCCACTAACCAAAGAAACTTCGAGACAACAGTAGGTATAGGCCTGCCTATCAACCATAATGGATTATGGGAGAAAAAGTTTGTAAGTGTACTAAATCATTTAATGTATATGAGGCAACTCAAAAATTCAAATATCTGTTCACTTATTTATTTGTGTTATTTATTGGTTTATTTAGCAGGGACATTACACATAAAAAACCAAGAGGCTATTCATCTGAAGTCTCTGGACAGATGTTACAAAGTAATCCTAAAAAGGAAGAATAGACAGAAAGAAAGAAAGTATAAATGATTAAAATGACAAACTTATTGACTTAATATCCTTGTGCCATTGTCTTGGACAAAAAAACAGAGACGTGTTCCTTTTTCAGGCATTTTTGCAGTCACGGTATCCATCTGGAAGAAACCCCCACTTTTTCTTTTCAAAGTTTTTTCAGATCTACAGCGGATCTTTTGAAGATTTAACAACTCAACCCAAGTTGCTCTTTCAGAAAAAGGACAACTGTTGTCGACGGTTCAAACGAGTATGTTCGCGTGGTGAAATCACTAAAGTATTGTTGTTCGTGTTTGTGGCGACCCACGGGACTCCCTGAAGGACCCCTGTGGCTCGCTAAGGAGCGCGACCTGTGACTGTATTCAGCCCATTCATTTGTTGGAGGGGAGGAGTTAGCGGAGCCAAAGGGGTCATAACAAAATGTGTGTCCCCGACTAAAAGCAACATTATTTCCGCCCTGATCCGGTGCCGTCCTGAGAATCCCTGCGAGGAGCATTTAAATGGACTCTGAAACGAGTCCGAACTGGTTGTTGTTGTGACCGAGCGCAGCACCCTCTGCTCACCGCCTGCCGCTCTTCACTGTCTGAACCGACGCAGAGGATGGATGCAAGCTTTCCCCCGGCTGCTATCTTACTGCTAACCGTCGTTTTATCATCCTCAACAGCCTTTCTGGAGCCTTACGACTTTTTATATGACAATGCGGTGCAAGCGTTTTACAGCAGCGACTATATAAATGTGGTGCGCTACATGGAGGGAGCGCTCAGCAGCTACGCAGAAGTCCGCCGCACCAGAGTCCGGTGCCGACTGAGGTGCCAGGACCAGCATCCGTTTGATGAAGCCTTCTCAGACCTGCGCTTCTTCGACGCAGTCCTCCGGAGAGCAGCGTGTATGAACAAATGCATCGAGGAGATACTTGGCTCGCAGTCGGTGCATAAAGTCAGCGAGGATGTAGTGCAGGACTTCCACCGGAGGATCCCCTACAACTATCTTCAGCTGGCTTATCAGAAGGTACGGGGGGGAGGGGGTCTGCATGTGGATCAGGGTAAACTATTGCTGGTTTATGTGGCTGCTTTGCTCCACATTACCTACCACAGTCTTCAGCAGCTGTTGCTGCTGCACAACGTGATGCAGAGTGATAAGAGGAGTGCTGTGTAGGCTGGACAGGTCTGGGGATTCAGTTTCCACTTTAGTAGTAAACTTAAGTAGTTACCAACATGGGCATGTAGCCTACACATGTACCAGTACCTCAACTCCTGTGCAGTATAACCACATTAAAACCTGTTGATAGACCTCTGAAAAGTGCACCAATTATACAGCAATCAGCAGTTGACTGGCTGTGTGAACATATTCATGAAAATATAACTTCACTACAGAAGTAGAGGCTAACATACGTTTTTTTTAGATCTTGATATTGCTAAATGCATATACAGTATTGTATTTGCTTTTTGCAATAGCATAATGTAAAGCAAACTCTAGTTCGGCAGTTGTTTAGCAGGATGTTTTACAATTGAACAATAAATTCTATTAGCAAAGTTTTGAGAATAAAAGTTAAACATGTTGACCTGTAAACCTAACTGGAATTACATGTTCTGTAAAGAATACATAAAACCATATATAGAACATAAATAAGTGTACAATAAATAATCAAATCAAATAATCAAAATGTGCTGATACTGATACGTGTGATAGGCCAATACTGGATGATAATACAGACCTGCTGATAACATATGTCGAACTCTATGCAGAAAACTAAATAAGACACTGTTGTCAAGCTAACACTGTAAATCTTAGTTCTTTGAAAGTTAATAATATGGAACTGTGAAGTTTTTAGTCCCGACAACACAACAGTGATTTAACATGCGCTACATGGGTCTGTGTCCACTACTAGGTTGATGATGTTAGATTTACAGTTAAATCAAGACTCAGCAGCCCAATCACAGCGGGTTGACTCTACAGATGTCTCTGCACTTGCTTCACTCCTTTGTTTACAACCACACATTGTTTTTATGGCTCCTCTGTGTGCTGAGTTATTTTTGAACAAATGTTTCGGGGGGGGGTGGTTCTTCTGTTTTGGCGGCTCCAACGTTTGCTTTCTCTTCTACTGCTATATCCCACATCCACGGCGGCAGTGATACACGTGCTAGAGTAGAGCGCAAATAGAAAGTTCCAGAACATGCATTTCCCATGAGTTCCATCTTTTGGCTGGGATGATGTTGATCACTTGGCGTGGGAACAATCCAAGAGACAGATAAAACAGGAGAGCTGGGAACAAAGTGCTTATTCAGACTCTGCGTGACTCTGTGTGCAGCGTTTTTCCCCCAGGAAAAAATAAGTTTGATATATTTATATAATGTTTGCCATCAGTTTTTTATGTGCAGTATCACAACCAATCCTTTTTGATGGATATTTTTATTCAAGCTTCCTTGTTTAGACCCTTCTTGTCATGCACTGATGTATTCAATAGTATCACTGCAGGTTTTTGTTTGCATGTTTTGTTTGAAAGAAAAACTGTAACAGGAAAATCCTAAATGAACCTCCTTTTGTGCTCACTGTTATTTTGGACTTTCAACAGATGAAAAGAGTGGAACTTGAGCTTTACAAACACTTCAGTCAACATGCAGGCATACAATAAGATGTGTGACTGCAACAATGACGTAATGATTCCTGCAGGGAAATTGTCCTTTTGCTTCAGGGGGTGGATACTTGCAGTTTCAGTGACTTGAAGTGTCACAGTGACTACATGTTAGTATTTACATACTCACGTGAATAAGAGAGTGACTTTTTAACCTAGTTGGAGCTCATTCAGTAAGCTGGCACCATCTCCTCACATGAACGTGAGACCCAGTCGACTTCCACTGCCGCTGACTACAGACCAGCTCCAAATGCTAGGATGATGACACACAGCTTCCACCGCTCAGAAGTGGTGGGAAGTTAATCAACCCTGTCACTGTCTGCGGGCAAATGGTTTCTCCGTTTATGTTTTTTCTGAATCAGCAGAGAAAGACTATGAGCTGATGGGATCCCCTCATAAGAGTGCGCACTACTGTCTAGACATTAGCAAAGACACGGCCTTACAGATAGATCCTCACCCAGCTGTAAAAATATTACTAATCTTCTGTGAAAGGAGTTTCACTAACATCTGTTTGGATGAAAAAAGTGGAACATTATGTTTTGTTTTTTCTCTCACAACAAAGCAGAGACTGGTTGTGTTGCTCTGTGTCTCCTAGCATGTTGACATCTTCATGAGCTGAGTACATGGCAGCACATCAAGGCTTAGAGCTCTGATGTTGGTCTTACCACAGGTAAGGGGAGGCAGAGCTGGAGCGTTCCTATTGGCAAGGCCAGTCGACGCACAACAGACCAGTCAGTGTGTACATGTACGTCTTTGTGTGTGTGTGCGCACAGGCACCCTCACATGTATGATAGTATGGGGGTACTTGGTGGTGTTTGTGAAAATAAATAACATTCCTGCAGTATTTAACATTCCAGCGTCACACACCCTCTCCTGACAGCCTCTGGCATAATGCTGCCATTGGGCTTGTTAGAAGAGACTCCACAGTCACCAACTGTTCTCCTCACTCCTCACTCTGCGTATGTCCCCAGCTCGGCCATCGTTTAGCCTGGCAAATATTTTATTTTCCTGTTGTGGTCTGTTTGCTTTTCTAAAAAAAGAGAGACACACCACCTTTAAGCAGGTTTTAAAGAGAGACTTCTGTAGCTGCCACTGGGCTGCACCCTCATGGCCTCCAGTGATCTCTGCCGCTGTCCACAGCTCTCGTTCAAAGGCCCTGAGCTGCCCTCAGGGACAAGAAGAGATCGCTGTATCCTTAATCGGATTGCTCTCCTGTTCCAAGACGTTATTGTGAAAATAGTGCTCATTATTAGATTACAGAATCATTACAAACATTCAGGTAAACCCTTTTTTTTTTTTAAATAAAAGATACTATATAAGTTTTAAACACTGACTTATTTTTTACTTTGTTTTATTTTTTTGTGTGAATTGAATGAAAATCAGTTTAAACTGTCCTTCCTAAGAATTTGGGTATTTTCCTTTTGAAAATCTGTTGAAAAATTTCGAGCCTTAGATATAATCAAGACACTGCATAGGCATAAACTCTTTAATCCCACAACCCACTAGTGGGTCAGTCATTACAAACTCCTGCTGTGCAGCTAAACATTCTTCAAACCCACAGAACTTCATTATAAGTTTTTGTGGCGATCCTGACGTTTCCAAAGATACCAAATATGAAATGGGTATAAAGTGATGCAGAAGACATCTAAAATATTTTTATTTGAAAGATGTAGCCATAAAAACAAGAGTCCTGTTTGAATATTTTACTCCAGTGTAAACACATGAAAAGCTGGAACAACATGCCACAGACTATATACTGTCAAACAACTTTAAAGCTGCTTAGTGGGAAAATAGTTAAACTGGATGTTTGGGGTTAAACATGTACACTTCAAAGTACTAACAAAGCTGCATGCCACTACTTGTACATAAAACAATCTTACAATGTTATCTGGTTAAAGTACAAGGTGAGGCTAGTGAACACTGTGTCGTCCCTTCTGACTCCCCAGCTTCACCCTCTTTGCCAAAATGAAATTCTCACCTTGGGTTTGATCCATTGTTAATTCTTGTGGAGAAATGTGTCCTCTGTACATGACCCATCCAAATATTTAGGAGCCTGAATGCAGTGCCCGGGGATAGCAAGATACATACTCTTGTCATCTAGTATGTGTATTTGCGTTCATCTCACAACCTTTTAGATATTATATAACCAGACCATAACGGGGTTTTGTTTGACAGCTTGCTTTACAGGACTGCCAACAAACATCTCCCGTTTGGTCATGATTCTCTATGTCCCAGATGAGTTTGGGACCATAATGACCCTGTTGACGTGCTCATTCCATGCGCCCAGTTTAACCCCAGTTTTGGGGACATTTGGAAAATGTAGCTTCAGTGTTGAGGAACAAGGATTTACAAAGTCCATGCCAAAAAATGTGGAGACTTGGCAGAGACTGCAAACTGTAACCTGACTATGATTTGACACACACAAGGCATTTCTTCTGATTGCACAGACATGATCTTCAAGGAAGCTGCTTTCTCGTGACTTAATTAAGTTAATCTGTCTTGGGAAATGGGACACACAACTCAATAACCACCCCATCGTCATTTTGTTATGAGAACTTCCCTGTGTCTCCCTTCATGATGCTAAAGGGTGACAGCAGGCCAGAACAGTCTCTGAAGCCTGCTGATGTTGTGAGCCGCCTCTGGAATTTTCTCTTCAAAGTCTGACGCATTCATGATTCCACTGTGAGCACAATGATTTGATTACAACACAGCAGGCAGCTTGTAGCTCAAGTAGAATCCTCCTTGTGTTAGATGGCGTGTTACGGGATTAGAGGTCAGGTGTGTGTATGTGTGAAGGACTGGTAATCATCGCAATGCTTTGTTGCATTTTTTTCTGTCATTTGTTTTATCTTCCCTTTTCAGCGTATGGACAGAAGTTGGCAGAATTAGGCTGCGGGGGGGTCTGTTTCCAGCTCCCATATCAGCTTGAACCCCAGCGAGAAATGTTGGAAGAACATTTGAGTGGAAATTAACAGATTTTCTACAGGCAGAGCTCATAGTAGTGAGAGCACTAGATGGGAGTCACAGATGATGTTATTGTCATCTGCAGCTGATAATAGGGGAATCAAAGTGCTGAGCGAGAGTGCAGCTCTGTTTTTGGATCGGTTAAAGCAAGCAGTAACTCTGCCATTTGCTCAGAGGCAGTCAGGTTGATTGCCGCTAAGTCAGATTTATGTGTTCGATTCGTCTGCAAGGGTCGTTTTACAGTTCTACTCTACATTGACAAAATTAAGATATCTGCTCTGCATCCCAGTCTTCACTCTGGTTGGATTTTTAGTCACTTAAAGAGTGCAAATTATGCTTTTTTCCTCTCCTTCTATTGTGTTATATCTTTTTTGTGTGCATGTAATAGGTTTGCAAAGTGAAAAAGTCTACC